ATATGTATGATAAAAATTATTGAAAACTTTGACAATAATGTTATTAAAATTATTATCATTAAATTCGGTGACGTATATTTCTTTCTAGATTATATAATAATATAATATAATATATAATAATATATAATAATAATATAGAATGAAAAATCAGAATTCCATGATTTTTTTTAATTTCTAAATATATAAAAGATAGTTTTTAAATTAATTTTCGAGGACTTCGAAATTTTGAATTGTTTTTTTTATATTTTTTAAATATCTTTATTATAATGTTTTTTTCCTTAGTCATATTAGCCATATTAGCCATATTATAAATTTATTGATATTTTAAATTTATATATTTTGAATATACAATATTTATAATAAATGAGTAAATTATAAATATGTGTGAAATAATTTTTTTCGATTTATTTCTAAATTAAATTTTAATTTTAAATTATTTTAATAAGAAGCATTATTTGATAAAAATCAAAATTATGAATAGTAAATAACTGAAAAAAGAATTTATAAAAACAATGATAAAAAAAAATGATTTTTAAATAATTTGTAGCATTTTAAACAATTTGTCGATCAAATTTTATTTTCAATATCTTATGTATCATTATAAAAAGCAACTTTTGAAAATCAAATCAAGTTTTCGTTATTAAAAGTCATAAAAATCTCATCCTATTGTAATTATTAAATTCAGAAAGATGCACAAAATATATTTATTATTAATTATCTAATGAATTAATATTAATATTAATATTAATATTAAGTAATGATTATTCATTTCCTCTAAAAATAATTTGTATTATCCAACACAGAATAGAATAAAAATATTTAAAATTAACAATCGAAATTGTCTACAAAATGCAGAATGAAATAATCATACCTCCGAAGAGAATCCTTCGACAAGAATGGCGACCAATAGATTGAATAGAACATAATTTCCAAAGGTCATCAATGCGACGAAATAAAGAGCTGCCCAATGAGACGTCTTCTGCATTCCATTGAACAACACGACATTCCAATCTTCCTGTGTCAAGATCTATACGAAACGGAAAAAGAAAAATTCTTCATGTAAAAAAAAATATAAATATCATTCGTTACAATTCAAACGATAGGTAAAAAATATTCTAAATTTACGTCAAATAAAATGTGAAACTAGAAATGTCTCTATCCAATTTGCTAATTGTTAATTAATCGTTCGTGTCATTTACTTGAAAGAACTAGCTTTAAGTCATTTGATCCGCTAGTTCTACATATCGAAAGTTGAGAAAATAGAAAAAAAAAAAAAGAAAAGAGATGAAAAAGAAGTATAGTATATAATAATATCGATTAATTATTTAGCCTCGATATTCTCATTTCTATAGATTATAAATTATATTTGCACCCACTTAATCGCGAATTTCTCTCTATTTTCAACGCGTTATAAAGATTTCATTTTAGAAGTGGTTTATTCGGCTATGTTGGATTTATTTAGATCTTTCTCAACCGTGATATAGTATAGTATAGTATAATATAATCATATGTAGGCAATAAGCATAATAATATGATGCAATTATTCATTAAAAAAAAGAGCAAGATAACAGTACTGGCGATAAACGTAAATCCGTGTAATCGAATAACTTCCATATCGGTCGTTAACGATAACGAACCGTGTTAATCGCCACGACAAACAAATCGTTATTTTACTTCCGTTTATCCTCTATCCAATCACGAAAATTAATGCAAGGCTCGGATCTAAAGAATGGAGAAAGATAGAAAGAGAAAAAAAAAGAGAAAAAAAATTAATAAAAAAGAAAAGAAACATGACGGAAAGAGAGAAACTCGTCGGTACATTACTAATCTGGTATGACGTTTTTATTGATTTTCGAAGTACAGACTTTCGCGTACTACGGTGGCTGAAAAAAGTGATTCATACAAATAAATTCAAACTTACTAATTTTTGTTATTTAATTAATCGATTGTTAAATTGATTGGGATAAAAATGATCCAATCGTTAAATTACTAAAATCAAATCGTATGGAAACGAAAAAAAAGAATGAGAGAAAAAGAGAGAAAGAGAGATAGAGGGAGGAAAAAGAGAGAGAGAAAGAGGGAGGAAGAGGGAGGGAGGGAGAAAGGGAGGGAGAAAAGAAAAAAAGAAAGAAAGAGAAGTGAGAAAGAAGAAGAAACAAAACAAGAAAATAAAAATTCAAAATACGTCAATATATACATATATTTCGTATGATATCGTATGATATAGAAAATGAATTGGAACGCGATGGAGCAAAAAAAAAGAAAGAAAACTATACACAATATTATGTAACACGTATGTATATAGATATGAATAAATATAGATTGTAGATACAGAATTACAAATACAAATATGGATACAGATAATAGATATAGATAATAGGTAAACCAATAGACAGAG